GTTTCAGGTACCTTTGTATTACTTCCAGATTCCTGCAGAGAAATGGGACATTAAGCCAGAAGCTCATTTTGTTTGTTTTACATCATGATTGGGAGTTTCATTAAGTGCTTGACTGTGCCCTGTGTCTCACTGATCTAAGAGCTTTCTCTGACACCGAGGACAGGCATTGCCCATCCTCCAGAAGACTGACATTTAAGTCAGATAACTTTGAAGCCAACAGATAGAAAGAAAGCTAAACAACAGAGCCAATATGAATGAGGACAGAGATAACTTCTATTGTGATACAAAAATCTTCAGAGGTAAGTATATGGTTCATTCTCATTTTTAATCTATGTGTCTTAGTTTTGGATGTGACTATTATAAGATATCTTGACCAATTAGTTTAGTTGCTGCTCTTTGATAATAATTTTACTTGCTTATAGAAAAGCTTATTTAAAAAGTTCGATGTTCAATGTTTATTATGTATCCATTCACCATTTTTGAAGTCCTATGATATGCCATTTACTATGTGCTTGGCACTGGACATTATGACCTTAATTGGAGTCTAACACGCATTAGTACTTTTATTACTTCCTAAAACAGCAAAATATTTTAGAGTCATTTCAACTCTAGTTTCTTCTCCAGTGCTTTGTTATTTTTGTCATATAGTTTAATTCTATAAATATTTAAAATCTTTTAAGACAATACAAGTTCGGTTTTTTAGCAGTCAATGTTTATTCACAGTTCCCAACATTATCTTTGTTGCTGTTCTCCCCTTTCTTTTTTTCGGATAATTTTTATTGGAGTGTAGTTGATTTACAACGTTGTGTTAGTTTTAGGGGTACAGCAAAGTGAATCAGTTATACATATACATGTATCTGCTCTTTTTCAGTTTCTTTTCCCCTATAGGTCACTACAGAGTCCTGAGTAGAGTTCCCTGTGCCATACAGTAGGTCCTTATCAGTTCTCTGTTTTATATATAATAGTGTGTATATGTCAGGCCCAAACTCCCAATTCATCCCTCCCTGTCCCTTTCCCCTTTGATAACCGAAAGCTTGTTTTCTACATCTGTGAGTCTGTTTCTGATTTGCATATAAGTTCATTGGTCCCATTTTTTTAAATTTTTAGATTCCACATATAAGTGATATCATATGATATCAGTCTTTCTCCGACTTACTTCACTCAGTATGACAACCTCTGTGTCCATCTATGTTGCTGCAAGTGGCATTATTTTGTTTCTTTTTATGGCTGAGTAATATTTCATTCTATATATGAGCTTTTCTGTATGCCCCTTATGTCTCTTACGCTTCTTTCTATATTTTCCACACTTTTGTGTCTTCAGTCTGAACACACTTCATGTTCAGTAAACCTTTGGTCATCTGTGCTCAGTTTTCACTTAACTCCATGAACTGAGTTCTTCATTTAGGTTATTCTACTTTTTAGTTTAGAAATTCCAAATAATAATTATTATTAGATGCTCAGTCTCATTTAAAATTCTCTGTCTTGTCACCTTTTTTCTTGAATATAATCATCCAGTTCTTTTAAAGTCATTGTCTCCTGACTCAATATAAGCATCACTTATTTTTCTTTCATTTCTGTCTTCGGAAATGCCTGGTAATTCTTTATGGAATTCTGGACGTTGCATATAAAAACTCCTAGAGGCTCTGGAAGATGTTTTCTTCCCCCAGAAAGGATTTGCGTTTGCTTTTGGCAGGCAATTAGGCAAGGAGCAGATCATTTTAACCCACTTAGAGACTGAGGTGATTTAATGCTGAGTTTCAAGTCTTTTTAAAAGCCTTGTCTCTTCCTGCTTCACCGTTATTTTTACAGTGTAACTCTTCAAGGGTCCCAGTTAAAAGCCTGGGCTGTTTACTGGGCCTTTTCTCTTTGGCAGCCTCTGAACTCTTAATTTCTGTCTTCCCAGCCCCATGAAAGTGCCAGAAGTTCTCAGTTCCACAGCTGCCACTGCCTGCCTGACGCCTCAGTGTCCCATCCTGCATTGAACTGGGCAGATGCTTTGTGAGGACAAGTGGTGCTGAAACTCACATTTACCTTCTTTCTGGAATCTTAGCCACTTAAGTGCTGGGTAGCTCTCTGATGACTCCAACAGATTTAAACTCCAATGTCTCCATCTTTTTTTTTTTTTTTAGTTGCTCTTGGCAGGAGAGTTGTTCTGATATAAACTAATCAGCCATAGCCAGAAGCCAGGAACATAATTTTTAAGAGTTATTTTCAACAAATCATGGTAGTCGTATAGATTCCCTTGACCAGAGATATTTCTGGTTTTTGGAAATCAGAATCTTTCTTACTCTCTAATTGGCATCTAATGTAATTTGCTCAATTATAAGACACTTGAGTCTGAAAGAGCATGGAAGGATACACACTAGTCTCTGTTGGAATGCAGAAGGTACCCTACTCGCATCAGCCATACAGCCCTAACCCGTCTCAAAGCTGAGTGCTACCCGTGTCTCATATCTTCTTACGTTATACGTACTACACTGTAGTGTAACCGTTTGTCTACTTACTCTCCTCTGCTAGACTGGGAGCTGGAACCTGTTGTATTTGCCTTTATATTTTCAGTGTCTACCGCAGTGTCTGACATTTAGAAGGTATTCACATGTCACATGCTTTTGGAACAAAGGGTTCTTCTAAGTATGTTTTTTTATATAGATATATAATAGTAAATTCTCACTAGAAGTAATTTGAATGCAAAAAGATTTTTTGAGGAGTTCCCTGGTGACCCAGTGGGTAGGACTCAGCACTTTGCACTGTTATGGCCCTGGGTTCATTTCCTGGTCAGGGACCTAAGATCCTGTAATCTACATGGCAGGGCCAGAAAAAGAAACAAAAAGTTTTCCCCTTGCCCTTGCCACACATTTCAGGTGAGTACCCTGATTAGAATCTGTAGTTTCTTACGAATTGAATACATTCAAGAGGGATTTCAGATTCTCTGGGTATTGAGACGGCGGAAGGACTCATGAAAAGAGACTGATAACATGGACACTTTTAAATGGATGTCAAGAGATCTGTGTTTACCTTTGTTGGCATCCCAGCATCCCAGAAAAAATTTCAAGTTCAGAGCTGAATGGAACGTCCAGCAGACCCATGAGGAATGCTTTGCTCTCCTGGAGCCTTGGTCTGCTAGCCCAGTGCTTTGATTCTGACTCCAGCAAACTCTTCCATGCCAGTGCTTCCTCTGCTTTTTATTGCCTTAAGACTTGCATCGGAATGCAGATTTTCTTTGAATCAGTTATATATTTTTTCTGATAGTGTTAAAAGTTAGGGTTACAGTCGTATTAGATTATTCTGTAGTCATAATTTTCTGTGCAGATGAATACCTGACAAACATACTTTGCTTTCATTCCAGATAACTGGTATCTGAATTCTACTAAGTGTATAGTAGATATATTTCTCTCTTTGAAATTTAAGTTGAACTTGTTTAAATTAAGGATTTGGTTCACTGACGGATATCTTACTCTCTTTCAGGTTCCAAGGCTTCAAGCTTAACACTTGTTATTTCTAATAACTTGAACCAACAGAGATGCTGTTAACAGTTGTGGGGGCTTCCCTTTACTGATTTTATGTTCCAGAAACATACTACTTCCATGGCTGGAAGTCAAAAGAATTCTTATCTTTATTCCCTAATATGCTTAACTCCAGTATACTTGTGTATTTCCTACCTTACCTTCCCGACCAAAGTCACATGAAATGTCTTCACTTTTCTCACTCCTAATTTTATAAATAAAGAATATTTTTATTTTATATGTAAATACTTCTGGGTCTCCAGTCTTCAGTTTCTGTTAATGATGAAATAGCTTATCATCCAGGGTAATAATGATGGAATCTCAACAAGCTGAAAGTATGGTATATTAACTAGAAACAGGCAGAAACTGAATAAATCTAACCTTGAAAGAACAATGGGTAACATTTGTCTATAGGTTTTTGCCTGAGGACATTCTTCAATCTTGGATCAAGAACACAAACTGAAGGTATTGAAAGATGGAGTTTGAGGTCAACAGAATAATCAGAAAATCAGAGGAAAAAATCCAGCTTAAAAAAAAAAAGTTACTATACATGTAAAAAATAGGAAAAAGTGATACTTACTCAAGGGAAAAAAATTGTCAATAGAAACAAGACCCTGTAACAAATATGCTCAAGGACTCAATGAACTACACAGAGTGCCTTCACGTGGGGAATTTCATCTTAGAAATAGAACCTATAAAGATCAAATGGAAGTTCCAAAGCTGAAAAGCATAAATAACTGGAATGGAGAATTTACTGTTTTGGCTTAATATCAGATTGAAGACAACAGAAGAAAGAGTCAATAAACTAAAAGATCAATAGAGATTATCCAATCTGAAGAACAGGAAGAAAAAATTAGAGGAAATCACATATCTTGGATGAAGACAGGAAATAAAAGTAGGGCAGAATTGAAGTGAATGTTTAGTACTAATAAATTCTAGCAATTAATTTTGCAAAGAAAAAAAATTGAAAAATAAACAAAACTTGGATTTTGAATGTCTAGTTCTTGTAGTATTTCTTCCTAGAGTGAAAGGGAACATACCTGGTTTTAAAACTGTATTTTTGTTGGCTTTCATAAGGTCATTTCTCTCACGTAGCTGTAAGTTTCTTAGCTTTCTGTCCTTTTCCTCTTTTTCTGTTTCACTCCTTCCAGCATGAATGGCCTTTTCCTTCTGTGTGCTATATTCAGGAGCTAGTTTATTATGAAAGACAACTTCTAACACTGGACTGAGGCAAAGGATGCATGTGATAAGTCATTGTGTACTGTCCCATTATTCATTGGTTTGCATTTTGATGCATTCTCCTTTGTATTTCACTTTAACTATAACTTTTGAGATCTTGATAATTCAAATCATAGTGAATCATTTAATTATTTTTAAGCACCAGTCTTCCTTAAGAATCTGTGAATACAAAATACCAAATAATATTTCAGAATAAGTGAATTTTAGTTATTGATCCCTCTAGAGACAATTCTGTCTCTTTTGGTTTACCCTTTGTAGGTGTTTCACCAAAGCCAGCAGCACTTTCAGCAGCAGCCCCCTTCCTGTGGTCCCAGTGATAGCACCTTATCCTCAAGAGGGTTTGGAAATGAAGCCCTTCAGTCACATGAAGATGCCTGTGTGTCTGGCTTCCACAGTCCCCGACTGTGTTCAGTCACCCGAGGAGGGCATCGCCGAGGACATGACACCAACACCTGCTCAGCCGATTTGCTGTCAAGACAATAGAGATGCGACCAACTCTGACTGTGTGGAAGATACAGCAGAGTTCCACAGAGGTACAGCAAGACATTATAAATCGCAAGTTTCTAGGTAGTCTTCAGTTAACTAAGAACTGTATCAGGAGAGATGATGCTTTCAGAACATTCTGTGATCAACTCATATTTCTTAGATTATTGGGTGGGGGTATTGGATATGTCAACAAAAGTTGACTCTGTAAAGGATTCTTTAAAATTCTTGGGTGCTTGGGGATGTTCTTTTGTTGGTGTTTTTTAATTTTTTGGCCACACCGCACGGCATGTAGGATCTTAGTTCCCCAGCCAGGGATCAAACCCGTACTCCCAATACAAGGAATCTTAATCACTGAATTGCCAGGGAAGTCCCTGAAATTCTGTGATACACATCCTTCATCTCTGATTGTTCATTCTATTACATTTTGGAAAATAAGTCCAAATAGGCTTTGATTCAGTTTGTACCTGAACCATAGACTTGCTAGAAGGATGCATTTTGTGATCCTAGGCTTCTTTTCTCATCTGAGTTGATTCTGGAGTTGTAGTGGTTCTTGAACATGGTTATTTTGGGGCTTTTAAGGGGTTTGCTGTAACCCTCAGATGAATCATGTAACTGTTCGTGAGAGCTCAACTTTATTTTAAGCCTCTGCCTCCCTCAGATTCAAACGTAAACTTAACTGGGCTCTGATTTTGCTCATGGTTCTTTCTTTATTGCTGAAGGTAGTGTTTTTAGACTGCTTTGATAAAAATCAGCCTTTCTCATTTCATAATGCTTCCAAACGTTTGTTTTTCAGGAGACAGCTGTGTGCCCTCAGAAGCTGAGAGCATTTTAAGTTTTAATCCTCTTATTTTGCCACCTGTCTCAAAGGACTGTACTGAAAAGACACCATGGTGCCCTCCTGGCACTCCTGTAGACAGTCCTCCAGGCGTCCTTCAGCAATCCCAGGAGACCTGAGGATGCGGCAGCGCCCGGTCGTGTTCCCACTGCAAGCCAGTCACTACGCGAAACTACCCTGAGGGTGGACTGTGTGAAGGACATTAATTCAGTTCAGAGAAAGAGCGTTATTTATTTTTTGTTGTAGTGATGTCATATGAATGTATCTTAAAATGTGTGCCCTTTGATGTTATTTATGCCTTAAAAGTTTCCCTCCCTCTTCCTTCCTCTCCCTCATCACTAAACAACCTAGTCTGGCACAGTTTCAGTCACCTGAGACCATGTTGTCCAAAGAGTCTCAGCGATAGTAAGAGCCCCTCCGGCTAGGATCCTACCTGTTGGCTGATTCCGCTCAGTTGGAATTGCACAGGCCATTGGGAATTTTCAGATGGAAAGTTGTCTTTCACTATTGTGTTATCAGACTGTCTGAGAACATTTGAAATCAACCACAGTTGTCACACCTGATGTTTATAATAGATGTCTTGCGAATTTGATGAGTGCCTTCCACGGAAGTGATAGTTGACCTGTAGGCTGTCTGCATATGGGCACAGGTTACGTCCAGTTATCTAGGCAGTAATCACAGTGTTGTGGACATGGCGGAGGTTAAGGCAGTCTGGTTGGGTTATTGCAGAAGGCAGAAAGGGAGCCAGGACCAGAGGGAAAAAGAATGCCTTCATCCAGTTATCATTTAAAATTACATTTATTTATAACATGGTTACCATGGGGCTCTTTTTGACTGTTTCTAAGAGAAAAATAAGACTTTCAAGTGGTGACTAGAAGATCCATATTTTAAGAAGAAAGGGAAGGTTCCAGATGGATCATCTTGGCGGAAGCTCTCCCATTAGTATAGGAAGTATCATGGTGCCCCACCCCTGAAAAATCTGTATTTTCTAAGTTCCAGCTTGGGCAGTACCTGAAAGATGTGAGTGTTAGAAAAGAATCTGGAGGTTTGAAGTTTCCTGGCGTTTTTCCTGAATGTCGTCATTGTAACAGCACCTACAGCTTTGATTGGCAGAGCTCGTAAATCACAGTTATTGCTGCCTCTGAGTGACAAGGGCATTTGCAGCTGCCGTTGAAAGGCTTTTCTTCTCCACATCTGAAACAAAACAACACAGCACTCTGAGTGTATTTGATAGCTTGACTCAAGCTTTATGGATCACTGCTCTTTTTTGGATTGTGCATCCCTTTGGGGAAAAAAACAAAACAGAAAACAAGTCTCTTTACGGAGAGTCAAGCGATTCCAGCATAAATGAAAATATTTTTACAGTTTCCCAACAATTGCAGTGAAATGGAATAGAATACTATATTAATCAACTTTCTGTGTAAATGCATCCATATTCCCTTACATATGTCTACATATTTTAGAAATAGAACTGTTAGTGGAATGTGCCATGTGAGCTGGGTCACTATGCAAGGATTACTTGGAGTAGAATGTAGTGGATACAATTTCATAGTCAGGTGTCATGGATGCTCCAGAGTTAAGTTCTCCGTTTCAGACATCCACACCTATAGCGTACTGGATTTATTCTTCATTGTTGCCTAGATGCAGTTAGCTTTAGAGGGAGTTGTCTGCATCCTTTACTTCTGTGGCCAGCAAAGGACAAAGTCCTAGCGCACGGAACATGAAAACATACCCTGTGTCTGCCAGTCAGGTTCTAGGGCTACACTCACAAAGGGAGTTTTAGAAAACTGGGGACTACGTGTTTGTAAGCAGTCATTTTGATTCAGGAAACAGAGGTGTATTAGCGTGAGCCTTAGGTCATAAACTGCTTTTAAAGATTGAGTTTGAATATGGGATTTGTCCACTAGGAAGAGAAAAATGACTTTACCTGTAGGGCAATCTCATTGTGGACTGCTTTATTTATATTATTAGTAACGCTGTTTTAAGTGTTATCCCTTTAATTGTATTTTTATTTATAAAAAATGCTTTTATATATTGAGATATATAAATATAAATATATATATAATTGCCTTCATGTTTAGGAGTTATGAGTGCTCTCTGACTATGAGTTGTTCTGAACTTTTATGCTCTGCACATTTACCCAAAACAGTCCTACCTAATGATATTTGCCAGGAAGTCAGAGGACAGGACGGCATGGGTGATGGCTCTAACATTTGTGGAATAACTGTTATGTACCAGACTGGTGCTTGCTACTACTATCTCAAATCTTCCTGTTATGACACATCTACTAAGTAGGTGATTAAAGTCCCCAGGTCACACGGGTGAGCCACAGAGCCTGAATCTGAACTTATCTGGAGCAGTAATCTGAGCTCCTGTTTTTCCAGACTGTTTTCCAAAACCATTGCGGTTCACTCTGCTGATGGAACCCATTCCTGCAAGCCCCCGGTCCTCCCCACTGCAGAATTCCTCTGATGCTCTAGCACCACAACTAGAGAGGCTGTCCCCCATGGGCAGAGCTCTAAGCTTATTACCTGGTCTCCCCGGAGCCCTCATTTCTCCTTGTGACCCCCCCTTGCTACCATGCCTTCCCCGGAAATTTGACCTTCTCTCAGCGTAATAGTGATCCTGTAATCCTTCAGACCTCTTCACATCCCTTCTCCTCTGAGAACTCTGTGAGTCTTTGTTTTAGCATCAAACTGCCCCTTCTGCTATATCATTTCTCTAGCTCCTTTTTTTCCCTTTTGGTTGTGCACTGATCCTCTGACGATGGGCGCTGTACAGAATGTAAGTGAAATGGCAATGTTTTAAACCTCTTGAAGTGGTCTTTAAAAACAAAAGGCATTTCTTTCTGGGTTTTGTTTTTGTCAAAAGAGTCCACAAGGATGGATACTGATTACTAAACTGATTGTGACGTAAGTCTCATTCCAGCTCCAGGACTGCCAAGAAGTCAACCTTCTAACTGAATTTCACCTGTGTTTCTCTCTCATAAAGCAGTGATTTTCAGATGCATGTTTTTGTACCATATTGAAAAGTATGTTTTATTTTCCTTAAAGTTGTAATATTATGTTTGAAATTGTATATATTTTAAATGATGTAGCTTTGACAGGTTTTATTTGGTCGATATGATTTTCTATTAAAAGAGAATGCTGCTTTCATGTAGAGTAGCTCATGAAGATGCATTTCTCTGATGCTCCCTGTCTGTGTGAAGCTGCTTATAGCTTGTGGCGGGGGTGGGTGTATGTCTTTGAAAAGTTTTGGACCTGTCCTTCCTTGAAAACCTCTTCTGCACAACTTAGAATCAAGTGAGTTAATCCCTTCTGATCTGACTGCAGAGATCGAGGCCCTGAAGAAAAAGGATCTGGGACAAATACATTATGGGGTGGCTGGGAAAATACCTGCAGCAAGGGGCTCTGTCAAAGCAGATGCAGCCTCTTAGGGGGCTTAGCATTTCTTTGGAAGGAAATGAGGGCAGAGGAGAGTGAGAAAGAGGGATCCCTTCTCAGACCTTGTCTATTTTTACTGTTAACCTAGAGCCATGTCCATGTGAACCCCAGAAATTTAGTCTTAAGAAGCAGCTTAGCTTTACTGCCCTAAAAAAAGTGTCTGGGGTGGGACTTCCCTTAATGTCCAGTGGTTAAGACTCCATGCTCCCAATCCAGGGGGCCCAGGTTCAATCCCTGGTCAGGGAACAAGATCCTGCATGCCAAAACTAAGGTCTGGCACTTCCCAAGTGGCTCTTCTGGTGGTTCAGAGAGTCAAGAACCTGCCTGCCAGTACAGGAGACACGGGTTCGATCCCTGGGTTGGGAAGAGCCCCTGGAGAAGGAAATGGCAACCCACTCCAGTATTCTTGCCTGGAGAATCCCATGGACAGAGGAGCCTGGGGGCTCCAGTCTATGGGGTCGCAAAGAGTCGGACACAGCTTAGCAACTATACAACAACAACAAGATCCAGCACAGCCAAAAGCAAACCAAAAAACACCCAGTGTCTGGGCTGCTTCGACCAGAAAGCCACCGGGGCTTTTTGCATGAGGTGGGGCCCTGTCACACCGTGTTCCCCAGATTTAAACGGGCCTTCCTTGAACCTCAGCCCTGGCAGCTGAGGGAACCCGAAAGCCCTCTTCTCGCAGAGACTGAGTCCGTGAGAAACTTAGGAGAGCTCCGTTTCTGTCAGCGTTCCGTTTCCGCTCAGGCGCCGCTTTCCCGATTCCTGGCAGGACCATCCCTTGGCCGTCTGGCTGTTTGTTCTCCTCTGCGTCCCCCGCAGAGGCAGGCCTGCCGACTCGCGCAGGCAGTGGAACAAGCACGCATTTGTGTTTCACCCAGATGTCAGACACACACGCTCGGAGCCAGTGAGTCATGCCGGCGGCTGACAGAGTGTGACTTTGGCCAGCCCCGGGCCCCTGGCAGCCAGCTCCCCCAGCCTGGTGGCAGGAACCCCTGTCCCGTCTTGTTGGCACAGGCTCTCGAGTCCAGCGACTGTGAGGCCCTTAGGCCACGGCAGGCTCTGTGCCTGCACGAGGGGTGAAAGGAAGACAAGGGCTCCGGGCACCTGGCTCTGCTCGCAGCCCTGGTGCAGCTTGTGTTTGAGGGGGAAGGAGCTGGCGATTGGGAAAGAGCCAGAAGATCACATCTCTGTGGCCCTACCATCCTGAAGGCGCCAGATTTTATCTGCTTTCAGAAGCTAAACAGGGTCATGCCTGGTTAGTACTTGGATGGGAGAAGAGCACATTTCCTGCGACAGTTGCATGAAGGGCACACACACCCCTGCCTATCTCATTTCCCATCTCCTAGCTTCCTCCCAGTAGGGAAACCTGGGTCCCAGCTGAAGCTGGTCAGCCTCTCCCTGTGGGAGCTGCAAGTGGGATAACTCTCCACCAGTGAGAGCATCATGTGTGATTTATTGAGAAATTGCTCAGTGCTCGAACTCAGGCTGGAGGCAGGAAGCTGGGTCATATGGCTCCAGACACCGTTCCCAGCACCGTGGTTCTCACTTGCCCTTGGACAGCCGGCGATCTTCTCCACAATCACGTGTCTTCCTGATTGTTCCACCTCTGTCTGCCATTAACTGGGCCAGGACTGGTCTTGTAACCAAGTCATTAAAGGCCCTGCAGCTGAGCC